AACGAATAGTACCAAATGTGGTGTGCACATCACGTAGTGGATGCGCTATGGATCCAAGGATCTGGATAGAGTGGTTAGTATATCGTCAAACAAAAAACTTGTATAATTTGTATTTTTTTAGTCTAACGAAGTCTTATATGACAGAATGCAGATAGGAGAAGAACACAAATTACCGGCTCGAAAGGAGATTCTATGGTATCTGACTACATATTTTGAAAACCATGCACGAGAAAATCTTTTCAAGCATGTTGTAGATGAATACATGGAACAAGGAAAAGTGAGAAAGAGTTAAAACAAAAAAGAAAAGAAATGAAGTCATTAAGTTACAATGTTGCATTATTTAGACAATACGTTAAATTTATATTTGCGAGATTGTTTCCTTTTGGATATTGAATGTTTTTCGTTTATTATATTTGTTATACAATGATGGATTTCAAGGAATTTACGATTTGAATCATCTACTAAAAGAGGTCGACCACAGAATCAAAGAGGTCGACCCTGTAGACAGAGCATAGGTCGACCTAGTATGCTTATGGTCGACCTATTATACCCTTACTTAGCAGCTAAACAATATTAAACAAGGATTCAGTCCTGTCGGTTTCTCCTTTAGCCAAAACGATCGACCATTCAAGTAAAGAGGTTGACCTAAATGGGTCGAATTAGCTTAATATGTACTTCTCCTTGTCCAATTAGGATTTTGTGTACTTTCCCTTGTCGAATTAAAATTTGATGTATCCTTGACTAATTGGGATAAATGTTCCCCATACTAGTAAGGATAATGAATTCGTCTACATTCTCTATAAATAGATGGAAGTCTTAAGACTTTATTCATGCTTCGATTTATGCAATTGTTTGCTAAGGTATGCTTCGATATGTCATGTGTGCTAGTTAAGGGTTCTCTGTGGTTCAGTTTTTTCCTAATTAAGTCGAGCACCTCAACCTTATGGTCGACCGCAGTAGGGTAATTTTGTGATAAGGTCGATCGTACAGTTGAACCAGGTCGACTTGACAAGACCTAATTTTGATTTTTACAATTCGTATTCCGATCATTGCATGATGGATAATAGAGATGTTGAAGAGATTAACGTCGATGAGGAAACTGAGGATGCTGGAGGAGGACCTATGGATAATGCAGATGATACAGACGATAAAGTGATTGGGGATGGTGAGGAAACTGAGGGTGTTGAAGAAGAATTTATGGATGATGAAGAAGCTACTGAATATGAACAACAAATTCCTTCCACGGAGTTCCAAACATTAGAAGATGCAGAGAAATTTTATGATGCCTATGCTAATGAGAAAGGGTTTAGCGTTCAACATAGAGATCTTCGGAGGAATCGTTGAGGAGTAGTAACTGGAGGACAATAGTATGTTCAAGGGAGGGAATTAGACAGAAGAAGCATATAGATAAAGAAGGTAGGAACTGGGAGGACAATAGTATGTTCAAGGGAGGGAATTAGACAGAAGATGCATATAGATAAAGAAGGCAGGACACGACAAAATCGTAAGATGAAAATACATTCTTAGAAGGCATCGTATAATGTACGCTTTGATCGGACTAAGAAAATGTGGGTTGTTTCTAAGTTCGAGAGGAAGCTCTCACATCGTTGCTGCAATGAAGAACAAACTCAATTCCTTCGATCTCATCAAAATATGAGTGAAGGAGACAGGGCTTTGGCGATAGAGATGCGACAGTCAAGAATAAAAAAATGCCACATTGTTCAATTCATGAAGACTAAAGTTGGAGGATATGAGAATCTAGGGTACACTCCAAAGGATTTGGATAACACTGTTCAGAAATCCCGAATAGTTGACGACGATCTAATAGGATATGAACCAAACATTGGGTTACTTGCAAAGTAAACATACTTCTGATGCTGGCAGGTTCTTCGAGTACACAATCTTCGAGTACACATCTAGAGCAAATTACCATTTTTTGGGGATGTCTTGGCGTTTGATGCATGCTACAAGCGCATCAAGTACAATCGACCATTTGTTATGATGGTTGGGGTAAATTACCACAAGCATAACATCATATATGGTTTTGCCCAATTGGATAATGAGATAGTCACCAACTACGTTTCGTTGTTGAATACTTTTCTGGAGTGTATGAACTTGATTCGGGCCCAAATATACACATTTTACCCTTCATTTCTTATTCGTTTGGCTTAGTATTTCAGCGTTCCCCAAAATATTTCACGCTAGGTTGTGCTTGATTTGATACATTTCAGGTCCTAGAACGTGTGGAAGGGTCGAGGTCGAATTTTGGGATAATTGGAGGTCAAAAAGCGCAAAACCCAAAGAAAAGTCTGAAACCGTGAAGTGCAGGCATCCAGGAAACAACCACAGTTCACGGTCAAACAAGGAGTTCACAATCTCCTAAGACTGTGAACTGGAGCCACAAACCGTGAACATTGAACAGTCCAACGAGGTTTCAGAGGTTACTGGCGCCAAGCGAGTTCACGGTCGCTAAGTTCACGGACTTGTTTAGGTGTTCACGGTTGTGAACTGGTCAACACGGTTATGAACTGGGCGCTTTCGGGCAAATATGAAGACAGCAGTGGGGAGAGAGAAGGAGAGCTGCATTTTAGGTTAGGTTTTCATTTTTCAGAATAAAGAGGATTCTAGTGAGAGGTTAGGGTTTCTTCAAGAGTGGGAAAGTGTCTTCTTCTTGAGATTTTGGAGAGAGAAAGAACGAACCAAAGAAGAAGGAAGGCTAGGGTTTGCTCCAAGTGGTGAATTGGGAAGATTCTCCCCAAGAGAAGATCAACACAAGCTCAAAGGTGATTGGAGGCATCACCATGATGGTTTGTACCTCTTCCTCTTGTGTTCTTCCACTTTCTAGCATGGAGTAGTTTCCTTTTTCACTTGGGTGTTGTGAAACCCTAACTATTTGCCATGTAGTTGTCATGTGAATTGAATGATTGTTTATGGGTGTTGTTAATTCAATGATTGAGGTATTTTTAATTTTGATTGTGCATGTTTGTGCTAGCAATCTAATTGGCCATTCTTACCTAGATTAGAGGGGAAAACCCTTTTCAAGGGAGGCTCAATTGAGTTGGGATTCCTAGGGCTTCTTAAGTCACCTATCTAGGTTAATGTAGGGCAAACCACTATGTTGAATTAAGAAATTTGGTTAAGCGCGATTAAGCCGAGCAACCATTGGGTTGAGTGAGGGAGTAAGTCAACAATCGAATGCCTTAACCGAGAGGGCCACTTGAATAGCCTGTAATGTATCCCTCGGTTGGCAATTGAGAGTGTGGTCTACGACCATATTTGCATCCCCTAGCGGTTCACGGTCATCTTGCCCATAGAAATCACTTCTATTCACATACCATGGTAATAGTTAGGGGGAAGCCACACTCGAGTGATCCTTCTCACAAAGAGCTTTCAAAACCATTTACTTTTGCCTTGCTTTACTTTAATTAGCAAACTTTTCAACCAAAACCGATCTCTAGATAATGATTCAAATGAATGAAGTAGAGGTACACGGACCGGCCCGAGTCGATATTTAAACATACTTGCCCTGTATTGCACCCGACTAAGTTGCCGACTTCAGTGATCACAGACGGATTCAAGTCTATGCGTGGTGCCATTGCTACTGTACTTATTCGAGTGCCTCACCGTCTGTGTATTTGGCATATTGCGACAAATGCAACAACAGTCGTTCATAATAGAGAGTTCGTTAGCACATTCACCCACTTGCCGAAAGCACGTATATCAACTGAGGACTCCAATCAACCTCGCGATGTGAGTCATGTAACCAATGGATAAATGAGTATGTGGGAACTCAATACAACTTGCAATGTTTTGTTCATGGCATTGATGAAGCACTTGAGGGAATGCTTTTCACGGAAGTGCAGGATGATTATTCTTCTAGGCACACGAGGTTGGTCTCCAAGCATGCCCTTCGCGCATGGAAAATGCAAGCTGAAAGTATCTGCACACATTGTTCATTTTCTATCTTCAAGTCTGAACTAGAGAACGAAGCTTCTTATATATTAGCAGAGACAAGAACTGAATCAGATGGGACAAAGACATTCATTCTGAAGAACTCCATGAACTCAAATCGAATAAGGAGGTTAACATTTACTACGACCTATCAATATTTCAAATGTGAGTGTGCATTATTTGAATCTAAGGGGTTTCCATGCATACATATGCTTATAGTCATAAAAAATAGGGGATTTACAGCACTACCCTCCACGTGATTCAAGCTTCGATGGACCCAAAATGGAAAGACATTATCTCGTAATCCTAGAGTTGGAGGTGATGTGGCAGAGAAAGTCGGTCGACTGATAAGACATGGGGGATCGTCTCTAAAATGTAAGTGTTTGTCTGACATCGCGTGTGGTAGTGAAGCTGCTTTTAATCATGTCTCTAAGGCGTTGGATGACCTTACTCAATGGGCAATTGAGTTCTCGGGGGAGAGAAAGGACAACACTACACCTACAAACCCTCTAGCACCCCTTCCAAGTGTGAACGACTCAAAAATTGAGAAGACCAAGGGAACATTCAAGTCAGCATGAAGTGCATCAGGCAAAAGCATAAGAAAGTGTTCGAAATTTGGGAAATTGGTCATTTTTGTCCTAAGTCCCCGAAAAAAGTCCCAAAAAAAATCTTCAATTTTTCTATCTTTTTATGAGTTTATTTTTTGTAACTACGATTGCAATGTTTTATTTTTGAATTATATTCATAATATATGCGTTAGTTGATTGTTGGTTTAAATTAACTGGAACAGAAAAAACGGTCGACCTGATATAAGAATAGGTTGACCAGACCAGATGAGGTCGATCGATTGTTAGGCGTGGTCGACTGATTTCTTCTTCTGCTGACCAGACTGGTTCGTATCTCAAAATCCGCCCATCCCTTTTACTCCCTTATTAAAAACCTCCTCCACTCATTCTCTACCACAACTAGAACCTCTTTCTTCTTTATCTCCTTTCCCTTTTCTTCTTCCACAAAAATACCATAAGAGAAGGACCAAACCTCCATTCTATTTCATCCTCATCTGCTAATAAGAAGAATAAGGTGTGTATTTCATTCGTCCTTTCATTTGGGTTGATTTTTCTATTCTTTTATTGGTAGATTAGATTGGTTTTACAAAACCCTAAAGCTGAAAAAATCGGATTTCTCTATTCTGTTCTCCAGAATTAGTCGACCTCTTCTTATTCATGGTTGACCGGATCTGTTTGCCATCGAAGCATTTGTGAAGATTTTTGTTGAAACCCCAAAAATCTGCAGGTTTCTCGTCATAACAGGTCAACCGATGATATAATGATGTCGATCTTTGATTTTTTTTTACTCAAAATGTTATGCAAATGATTCGGTTTAGCTTGTGTTTGATCAAATGAGGTCGACCGATGATGTGATGAGGTCGACCTATGATTTTTTTGACTCGAAATGCTATGCAAATGCTTCGATTTAGCTTGTGTTTGATTAAATGAGTTTGACCGATGATGTAATGAGGTCGACCTATGATGTGTTTTACTAGTCTTATAATGCAAATGCTTCGGTTTAGCTTGTGTTTGATTAAATGAGGTTGAACACTGGGCTTCCTCAAAGTACTGTGAGGTCTTCATTCATAGCATGATCTAAAGTCTCTTTGAAATCTCTTTTTAAACGCTCTATATAACCTTCAGTCTGTCTCTCTAACCGTTACCACATCATAACAACTATCTTGTACGCTAACACTTCCCCATAAATCTCTACCGTGGGATGGATTCTTCATCCACCGCCATGAATTCTTCAAGGTTTTGGAGGAGGAAATGATGAGTCATAGACCAGGGAAAGCCCATATGAGGTTGGGAGTGTCTTCTTGGGTACAAGAATGTGGTAATTAGCTTGGAGACTGTCCAACCATGAGCTAGCTGTACTGGAAATTTTGATTCACCTATGGCAATGGTCCAATATGGGTTCATCACGATTCATGGAAAAGATCCAATAAGGGTTCATCCTAGAATTTCCTTTTCCTTTACAGTTCTAACTCATCATTCTTTCTTCTTCCGTTTCATTGATTAACTGGTAGAAGAAAACCAAAGGAACACAAGGAAAATAACAAATTGTTAAAGTGAAGCAATACAATCCAATTGACCAAATCCCAACCCACATTGGGAAATTTCTTAACTTTCTCGCACTCTTGAGTTGTTGCAGTTACCTTAATCGCATAAGAGCATCCACATTGTTATTGCATTTTCCAATTGAAAGATCACATGACATGAGTGTTTGTAATTGTTAAACGAATTGCATTAATGTGGCTACCAATTGCATATTTGCAAGTTTGCAGCAAATGCAAGTCAAAAATATTTTTCTCTTTTCCTTGAGTGTTTGCATGAGTGTTTTCGCTTTTACTTTATTTTCTGTAATTTAAACATAATATTTAATTACATATGCAATTGTAAGTTAATTGCATTGATGTAGGTGAATGAAAGTGATTTGAGGTGGATTGCAAAAAAATTGAGTTGGTAATGAAGAGCACAGATGCAATTGCAAAAGCAATTGTATTTATGCTCTATATTGAAAGCACAATTTTTTTACAATTAACAATTAACTTACAATTGCATATGTAATTAAATATTATGTTTAAATTATAAAAAAATAAAATAAAAGAGAAAAGAAAATAAGATAAACTAAAAAATCTCCATTTTCAGTTATTTTTTATTTGCATATGCAATTGATATCCACATTAATGCAATTGATTTTGCATGCAATTGCCAACATTCATGTCATATTATCTTGCAAATTAAGATTGAAATACCAATGTTGATTCTCTAAGCTGCCCAACCATAACACGTTGGTAACTTTTCATTTGTTACTCTTTTTTACGCGACTTTTCATTTGTTACTGACACACAAATGTCCAAACATATTTTACTAAGTTACTGTCATAACACTAACGTCAAACCGTAAAGACACATAAATGTCCAAAATTCTGTAACGTCCACATTTTACATTCACAAGGGAAAAGCTAATTAGCACAATTTTACTGTAAAACTGAAACAATTATCCCTTTGCAAACATATTTTTTATTTTTGTTTATCAGATCATGTGAGAATATAAAATAGGGATGGCAAAAATATCGGTAACCGTGATATCCATCAAAATCCGATCTAATCAAATAGGATAAAACTCGAACCAGAAAGACTTTTAGTAGTTATTGGGTAAAACCAGAACCCAAATTTTACGGGTAATGGGTCGGGATGATTTTCTCACTATTCAACCTGAACCTGCCCGATTATACACATGCATATGTATTTTCTTTATAAATAATAATTATTTTTATCTAACATATTTTATATTTAGCATATAAATATAATATTTTCATAAAAGTGTTATTTTAATTAATTTTCTTCATTCTAGTGAATTATTGTCGTACTTTTCCTCTTACGTAATGTGAGTATACGTTTGAATGTTAACATATTGGTTGAAGTTATAAAGAGAAATTATTACCGATGGATAACCGTGGATACCCAAAAACCAAACGAATATGGGCATGATTTTAATTTTCTACCCGTTTCTCATGTGGGTATAAATATGGTCGTATGGATCTTGAACTACTTTGAGTGGGATAACGAATATGCACTATCCATCCGGACCCAATCCGTAGCCATGTTTAAAACATTAAAGTTGGAAATAAATAAAAAACCAAAACGGGCCCACGAACAAGCGAATAAATAAAGATTGGAAATGATCCCTGTCAATGTTTGCAACACCATCGACAGGATTAACAGGGACTTCATTTGGGGGAAGGATGAGAACCAGGGTAAGATGCATCTTGTGGCCTGGGAGAAACTTGCAGAACCGAGAACGCAAGGAGAAGGAGGACTCCGGGCGCTTCGACAAGCCAACGTCGCGCTTTTAGCCAAAGGAGGATGGCGCATTTTGTTAGAAAAAGATACGCTCTGGACTCAAATCATGAGGGCGAAGTATGGACGGAGGAGAAGAGATCTGAACATTTTCCGGCCTTGTCAGGGAAGTTCTATTATATTGCTTGGTCGAGCATTAACAAAGCTGCTAGCCTGTTGAAACAAGGGTGTGCGTGGAACATTCATAATGGGAAAAGCACTAACTTTTGGTTGGATAATTGGATTTTGCAGAAACCGCTCATTGAGGCTACAAGTCAACCTGTTCCGGTGGAGGAGCGTGCTAGGACAGTGGCCTCCTATATGGATATGGATGGTCGGTGGGATATCACTCACCTCTCCCAATGGCTCTCGACGGCCATTCTTCAGAAGATCACTGCTGTTATGGTTGACCCTCTGTCTCCATATGCAGATCAAATCTTCTGGAAGGTGTCCGCTGATGGTCGTTTCACGACGAAGACTGCTTACCAATTGAGTCAAGTTGGGCACTTTGAACAGAATGACCAGATCTGGAAGGATATTTGGAAGCTGCCAATTCCTGAACGGGTCAGATGCTTTGTCTGGTTGGTTTTTCTCGGTCGAGTTGTTACCAACGCTTTACGTTTTTGCAGGAGATGCAGTGACACACCGGCGTGCGACAAGTGTGTAGACACTCCCGAGACGGTGATTCACGTGCTGCGCGATTGCCCGCGGGCGCGGTTTTGTTGGTCTCGTTGGGTTCCGATCGACAAATAGACGGAGTTTTTTTCACAGAGGCCAAGAGGATTGGCTCCGCAGCAATCTCAGCAACGAGGATATGATGGAGTCTGGTTTGGTGTGGAATGAGTTCTTCAGCATTGCTATTTGGTTGATCTAGAAGAACAGGTGCACGACGTGTTTCAAAGGGGCGAGCAAAGCCTTCACAGCTCCGACTTTGGCTCATTCGATACAGCACAAGTCCCTTCTTTGGCACAACGCGTGGGAGGCTCCCTCCATAAAGCCAGGTCGGTCAATCTTGCAGGGGGACAGGATCACCAAGCAGATCAGATGGCAACCTCCTAGCAGTGGTTGGCGCAAGCAAAAAATAATGGAGCATCAGCTGGTAACCCAGGGACTGGGGGTGCTGGTGGGGTGATCAGGGACGAGCAAGGGAGGTGGATTGCTGGCTTTGTGGCTAGGATTGGAGAAGCGACTGCAGCTTTAGCAGAGCTTTGGGATTTCTACCATGGGCTGAACCTGGCTTGGAAGCTTGGATGCGGCAGCTTGGTGATTGAGTCGGACTCTCAGTTAGCTATCCAGTTGATAAACAACCGGAGGGACCCGGTGCATCCGTACGCCTCTTTACTTGATGCTATCAGGAGGAAGTTGGTGCATAGTTGGCTGGTCAGGGTAGTTCATTAGTATCGAAAAGGGAATAGAGTCACGAACTGGCTCTCGAAGCACAGTCTCGTCTATCCCTACGGTACGCATGAACTCTCTAATCCGCCGAGGGAGCTTATTCAGATCCTTAGAGATAATATAATGGGTTTTTCCATTGAGCGCCAAGTGAGAGGGCCTGTTGCTCTGTAACTCCCTCTTCTTCTTTCTTGGCATCGGCCTCCCTTATTACAAAAAAAAAAAGATTGAAAAGTGTGAAAGAGAGAAAACGACGCCGCAACTTCCATACTGGAATGTGTCTGCTTGGGTAGAAGAATGTGATTAATTAGCTTGGAGACTTTCCACCACAATGACTAGCTAGCTGTACTGGAAATTTCGATTCACCTATGGCGATGGTCCAACGGGATGGCAAGGGGCCGGGTTGGGTCAGGGTAAAATCCGTCGGGTTTGAAAAACTCAAAAGCCAACCCAACCTGCTGGGTATACGCGGGTTCATGGGTATCCGTGGATTTTTAATAAGTTTGTTTCAAAATAAAAGTCTAACATCAATTTTGTCATAAAAATTATCCACACAAAAAACACCAATATAAAGCATACTAGCAAACGAAAAATTATCAATACAAAATTTTCAAAATTAAAGATAAACATCTATAAACAACATGATTAATTGAAAGCTCTTTCCTCCTTGTCAACTTAACTTCTTCACACTCTACTCTATAATATCAACTTCATTATACACAATTAGAAAGAACAAATTAGACATGTGTCTACAAACATAAAGAAAATTAGTTGTTCAAGGAATATATTGCTTAAAATATTAAATCACTTGAAAAAATTAATTATATGTGTGTGGGCGGGTACTCATAGGGCGAGTTTATCTAAATGCAAACCCAACCCAACCCGATGAATAGTGTAACGGGTTTAAACCCAAACCGCCCAAAACCAGTCAACTCCATTGGTACCCAACCCGTCAACGCGGGTTTTACCCACTTTGACCGGATTAGATTGGATAGGGTAACCGTGAGTTCGTGTTTTGTTATTCGCATCCAGTATGGGTTCATCATGATTCATGGCAGTGGTCCAGTAGGGGTTCATCCCAACAAACACTTGAAACATTTGAATGAGACTTTCACAGCTTCCCATAAAAAAAAAAATAAAAACAAATCTCCTTGCTAAAAACATTATTATCATTATTCAATTTGCACTGAACGGCTGAAATTTACAATTAAATTTCAGAGGAGCCTGTAGTAACATGCCACGTATACCGCCACCTAATATCCAGAACCCCGGACGACAAATTGACGACCATCTCCATGTTCAGTTCCCACAATAATCGAAATTTATAGATAAAAAAATAATATATTTAAAAAAATTACTTAACGGCGTTGTTATCATCTCTGTGCCTGTTCCGTCCATCAGGATTGATGAGCTCATAAATCTTCCATCCCGCCGGTCCAATGAATCTTCTAGACGCTGACGCTGCAACGCTCTGCGAGCGTGTACTTAACGGCGTTACTGCCGACAAGCACGCCGGCGTTCCTGTTCCCGAACTGGATGTAAGCCTGACAGCGGGAGTACAAGTGGTAGCGGCCGGAGATGAAGGAACCGACCTTGAAGCGGACGCGGCCGTCCATCTTGATGACGAGCTGGACGGCGCCGGAGGACTGTTCCTGGCGGAGGGAGACGGCGTTGTAAGGCGCGACGGGGACGGCGGTGCCGTAGACGAAAGGGGACCAGACGTTGACCTCCTTGTGGCCCTGGTAGAAGGGCTGGATTCGAGTGCGGAGGGTGATCTGCTGGGTCCGGTACTCGGCGTAGACGTCGAGCTTGTCGTAGTAGACGCCGATCTTGTCGTTGGGGTTGCGAGTGGAGAAGGTGACCTGGAGGTTGGAGGTGAGGAAGTTGGGCGTGGTGGCGTTGAAGGCGTAGACGGTGGCGTCCTGGAGGAGGAAGCTGGGCTTGCTGGGCCGGAGTACGGCCCAGACTATGAGGATGGTGACAAGGACGATGAAGAGGAATACTAGGATTCCGGCGAAGATCCGGCGGAAGATCTTCCTCCGCTTGTGGCCGTGGCTGCCGCAGTCCTTGGCCGACATGGTGGTGCGTGGTGGAGGAAGAGAGAGAGAGAGAGAGTTTGTGGTGTTTGGGGGGGAGGGAAGGGAAAAGAAGAGTACTGAGCTAAATTGTGTGCGCGTGGAGGGGAGACAGATGAGAGAGGAGAAGAAAGATTAGGGAATGAAGGAGGGGGCTATTTGTTTTGGAGTGGCGACGGTGGCGTGTGAAGAAAAGCTTTGTGGTGTTGAATTGTTGGATTGGTTTTGGGGAACTTTTAGTGTTAGAATCGATGAGATTCTCCTATATAGCAGTAAAATTGGTTATAGTCTGCCTCTCAAAATTCATATACATTCTCTAAAGTTTCATTATTTAAGTTGTATCCCAAGATTTAATATAAAATTGAAGTTAATAGTAGTTTAGGCGAGTGATGCTACTTTTTCAAGTTGGCAAGGAGAGTGGGTGATTGAAGTGGAATCTAAGGAAGTCCATATTGGATCACGCAATTATGTTTGCTTGAACAACTCAAACCACTTTATCATGAAAACCAAGGCGAGAGTAGAGAGTTCATTAACGGAAAAACGGAATTTCACATTCTTTTTTACTTTTTTGTTAATTAATCTGCACAAAGAACCAAAGCCCAAAAGGGAGCCAGATTTTGCAGATGCTGCTCTGCCCTGCCAACAAGAACAACCACTTTGATTTTTAACGCATCGCGATTGTCATAAATTAATACGTTTTGCTAAAGATACATACTTTTTTATCGATTTACAACAAAAAAATAAGAAAAATGAAGAATTTGTTGAAAAGTGTTTTGCTTAGAACAGTTGGATGATGTGGGACTGAGCCAAGGTAGATTCAACAGGCACGTGTCAAGACTCAAGTGGGTACTGCGTGGGGGCACTCTGTCCAATTTGCGATGACTTGAAAATTGACGAAAGGAAGAGGTTGGCCGAAAATATTTCTCGCTAGCTTATTTCTTAGACCGTCCTTTTTCTCCCACAACATGCCCTTTTCTCACTAGTCCCTTCCTACCTAAAAGCTCAACGACCTAGAACTGGAAGGTATCAAGCAAAGAACCCAACCCATGAATATTCATAGTAATTCATATATATTATATTCATAAGTGAAAGAGGACCAGAAAAAAGGGTTAAAGAAAATTAGTCTACGAGGATGTCATTCAAGTTTCAACCCAAAATAGTGTTCGTAGCCGTATCTGTTTGAAGTATATGTACCAAACAGTAATTGTACATATGTATAACTTTATAGCCGTTAGGATTGACTCAGAATCTATCTCTATATAGATCGTAGTAACCCTATAAAAAATCTAAGTTGAATTAAGTTTACTTAAAGAGTTCCTTGACATTCAAGAAAACCATGATCAATTCATATTCTTCGCCTCATGTTTTTTTCCGGCTTCTGATTTAGCCTTCTTCAATATGACAAGCGTCCTCGTTTTATTGTGAAGCTTGTTGAGTTTGTATTTTCTAGATGCTCTTCTTTAGCTTGCCATTTGTTGCTCATCTCGTAGATTGGTGTTGTCCATTCATTTCTTTCTAGGTTATTGATAAGATAATCCTAACTAAGTTAGATATGGTTGTAGCCAAATATTCGATGAAAACAATTTTCTCTTACATGATTTCCAATTCAGGAATTTTGCGGAAGGCATAC